CTAGGAATAACATTTTTAAAAATCTTAATTTTATAACTTGAGAATAAAAAAAAATAACATATTTTACTTTAATTTGCCAAGTTAAGATATATCGATATATCGAATTCTCTATCGATAGCTCTACATTCCATGGCGGTAAAAATAAAAAATCTCAGTTACGAGGCTTACAAAATTATTTAAAAAATGTGTAATCGAAAGCATGAAAATAAATACATTGAAATGTGGTGTCCATCTTAGGGTAAATGACACCATTTTTTGAAACCCAGAAAAAAATTGTATACAAACAAAATATTAATAAAATCATTTTAGAATATTATTATATGTAAAATAAATAATATTATAACGATAAATACCTATCTAAAATCAAAAATTTAAATAACTTTATCGACTTGAGAAAAATCGGAAATAAAACTTTTTTTTGACAAAAAATTCAGGTGATATGCGCAGTAGAAAAAAAAACTGGTTTTATTTTTCAAATGTGCATAAAAATCTTCGTCTATACAAACAACAAAAATAAAAAAAATTGAGAAGATGCTGTCACTTTAAACAAAAATTTTATAGGAAATGTCCATATTGGGGCCCTCTCCCCTACAAAATTCTTTATAAAAAAACTAGTCGCAACATAAATCTTTGTTGAGTTATAAAAAAAGGAGAAGTGCTGTACAACATGATGTGAGCGTTAACCCGGCGAAACGAAAAACGAAAAAAATTAAAAAATATTAATAAACAAATTGTCTGGATTTGTTTAAAAAAATAAAATTATTTCTAATACCGTTCAAGCTAGATTAATCATTTTGGTCTTAAAAGTTGCAGGAATAAAGTAGTATCTATCCCGATTTTCTAAAATAAAATTTGACTGAGATATGCTTCATTGTTTATAGTGAAAAAATTTTCCATTTTTAAAAATTTATTTTTTAGCAATAAAAATTTCTTTTTTTATTCCGCAGTACATGATATTTAAAATATAGACCCTTAAGAGTAAAATGCAACTTGTAAAACATTTTTTTTTTAACGATTCACAAATTTGACATTCAATGCAAAAAAAAAGTTTGTTAATTAACAATCAGATTATGGAAAATCTATTAATCCGATTGGGTCAAAATTTTTTATGCTCATTAAGGGCCTCAAAAGCAATAATTTTGACAAGGGAAAGATTGATTTAGTAATAATTAAATGAATTATAAAATATTTAAAAATCGTTTAACTTTTATGGTTTTAATTATGTAACTCGTAAACAAATTTTTGAAAAATATCGTGCGACCTCTCATTTTTTTAGATATTCTTAAGCTCTACAACTTTTTTCTCTAAAATTTCACTGAAAAGAACAATCCTCAAAAAACTTCAAAAAAACTGATTTTGTCATCTTAAAAGTTTTATAACAATAAACGCGCTTAGTGTAAGTTGGTGCAAACTGTTGGCCTTTGTTTCTATGCTACTAATCTATCAAAAAACGTTTTTTTTTTTTTTGCCTATTGGGTTGGATTTATGTCACAAAATCGACCTTTTTTTGACAGGGCGCCTGTACTAACACTATATGAATCCACAGTCAAAAGTGAAGTATCAATTTTGGCAGAAAATGACGTCTTTTTGTATAGGGCGACTAATAAACTAATATTAAAAAAAATTCAATTTAAATTGACTACTTGTACCTAAATGTAAGAAATAACAGGGTGTCTACTATTTTTCAGTTTTTGAATTCCCCGATTTTTCCCGGTTTAAGATATTAACGTTTTTTTCACTACAAGTATATATGATGAAGCACATAACACCTTAAATGGACGGGATGTACAAAATTTGTACACAATGTTTGAGGACATATTTCAATAATAAAATGCTACGAGAAAATTTTTTGAGTACACATACATTTCTTATGTGTCAAGAGTCCCTCTTTCGAATGGCGTGCTCAAAAAGACTAAAAAATGTTAAATAAACAATTTATTTAACAATTTATAACAAAAAACACGATTTTTTAAGAATTTTAAATTGGTTTTTTAAATTTTTTTATAGCTTAACCCTTCAGCATACCTTCTACTGTTATAAATATCGCGTCAAAAATAGTTGGGCTACAAGATAGGACTATTTTGGGGATTAAATTTTTAAATGGCTGCCACAAAATGGCGACCAAAGTTACTTTTTTTGAACAATATTATAAACAAATGGAGGAAATTTTCAAAAATAGTTAACTTTGCTTGAAACTTGTCACTCGGGGGTTTTTGGGGTCGCTGATGACGAATATGACCTTGTTTTTTAAAAATTCAAAATGGCGGATCCAATATGGCGGACGACAAATTTAAAAAATGATTGTATTCTCTTGAAACTTGTCACTTGGGGGTTTTTGGGGTCGCTGATTACGAATATAACCTTATATTTTGAAAATTCAAAATGGCGGATTCAATATGGCGGACTTATTTTTAAGAATCATACAAATTCTCACGAAACTTCTTACTCGGGGGTTTTTGGGGTCGCTAATGACGAATATGACCTTGTTTTTAAAAAATTCAAAATGGCGTATCCAATATGGCGGACGAAAAACTTTTTAAATCATTGTATTCTCACTGCGTGGAGTTAAACCGTTTTTAAAGAATCTTTTTTTCATTTTTAAAAATTTTTTAATATTTTTGTTGCCTTTTATATTTTTTAAACATTATTTAGAAAATTTTTAATCTACTTTTACTTTAATTATTTTTTTTTCGTGTGATTCTGAAAAACACTGTTTGAAAAAATATTGATTGCATTGCTGACAATAAATACGTTGAAAATTTTCGTCAAATTATATATATTTTCATAATTATGAATTAATTTTGATTTTTATATAATAAATAATTTCGAAAATTAATTTAATTACTTTTAATAAATAATATATTATCATAATTAATGTATTAAATATAGTATGTATTTAAAACGTACTCTTTGAAAATTCCTGCAAATTATTTTATATTCGAATATTAATAATTATGAACTTATTAAATAATCAAGAAATTAAATTGGATTAGTTCTTTAAAAATAATGAATCAATGTAATTGATATAGATAGTATATTGTATTTTCAAAATTCACTGATTTATAATTTCCCGCCAAATTACACTACCGTTCAAAATTGAGAGACCACCCATTTTCAGGTAATTAAAAAACATTTTGAAACATAAAAAACATGGAATCTAAAAAATTGTTCTTTTTATTTCTGGAAAGATGATATAATTTTGAAAAGAACAAGATCTTTTAGAAGTCATTTTGACATTATTTTATTTAGATATTTTTAAAAAATCGCCATTTTTAATGTTTTACAAAAATTTAAATAACTTTTAAAATAATGAACGCTTGTTAATGATGTTAGGCTTATTTTACAGGTAATTTGCTACACTATAAGAATCACTTATAGTCATTAACGAGTAATTTTTTTCTTAGAAAGTGTAGACCGTCAAACTTGGACCAAGAAAATTCAAAAAATTTGAAAAATTTTTTCTGTACTAAAAACTATTTTAAACTTTTTTATTTAAACTATTTTTAACTATTTTATTTTTAACTATTTATTAGAAAATATATTTAAAAATTAATTAAATTTGTATAAAACATTGAAAATGACGATTTTTTTAAAAATATTTAAATGAATTATTGGCCAAACGACTTCTAAAATATTTTGTTCTTTCCAAAATTTTATCAACTTTCAGAAAATAAACAAAAAAAATTTTAGTGTCAGTAAATTTTATGTTTTAATACGATTTTCATTCGTCTGAAAATGGGTGGTCTCTCAATTTTGACCGCTAGTGTAGTTCAATTTCGTACGTCATTTTTGATACACCATTTTGAATTTTTGAAAAAATGAGGTCAAATTCATCATCAGCGACCCCAAAAACCTCCGAGTGACAAGTTTCAAGAGAATACTATCGTTTTTTAAATTTGTCGTCCGCCATATTGGATCCGCCATTTTGAATTTTTAAAAAACAAGGTCATATTCGTCATCAGCGACCCCAAAAACCCCCGAGTGACAAGTTTCAAGCAAAGTTAACTATTTTTGAAAATTTCCTCCATTTGTTTATAATATTGTTCAAAAAAAGTAACTTTGGTCGCCATTTTGTGGCAGCCATTTAAAAATTTAATCCCCAAAATAGTCCTATCTTGTAGCCCAACTATTTTTGACGCGATATTTATAACAGTAGAAGGTATGCTGAAGGGTTGAGCCAAAAAAAAATTAAAAAAACCAATTTAAAATTCTTAAAAAATCGTGTTTTTTGTTATAAATTGTTAAATAAATTGTTTATTTAACATTTTTTAGTCTTTTTGAGCACGCCATTCGAAAGAGGGACTCTCGACACATAAGAAATGTGTACTCAAAAAATTTTCTCGTAGCATTTTATTATTGAAATATGTCCTCAAACATTGTGTACAAATTTTGTACATCCCGTCCTTAATGGGTTAATGTATAAGTGATAATTTAATATTAATCATAATAAAAAAGTATAAAACAAAATTTTAAAGAACCTAAAAATTTGTTTTTATTTATAAAATAACACCGTTTCATTGTCAATAAATAATTACACTTGAAAAGTATACAGAATTTTACGTAAAATTTATTTTTAAATTTAATACCGTACACTTTATAAATAAAACAGAAATTAATTTTTTAATTTTAAACACAAGAAAAATTATTTCCTCTAATACTGAATGCTGAGGTAAAATTCTCCGAATAAAAGATTTATTTTTCCCGTAAATTTTTTAATGATCTGATATATCGAGCAATGATAGTTGTTTCCGTACATAGTACATACACGATTTCATAAAAATTTTATTTAGAAATTACGTTTCCCAGTTAGTATACACCCTGAATAATTACAATACCAAAAAATATAAACTCTATTGTTTATAATGTAATATAAAAACGCCTTATACAGACGGCAGTAGCTAGAAATTAAAATGAATTGAAAAAAGAATTCCAACGTAAAACTATTTGGTGGCCCTGAAAAGGGCCGATTGTTTTTTTTGATGATGACGATGATGGATAAATTAACCGCCGAAACCGTAAAGGGTGCGGCCTTGACGCTTGAGAGCATAGACGACGTCCATGGCGGTGACGGTCTTCCTCTTGGCGTGTTCGGTGTAAGTGACGGCGTCACGGATCACGTTCTCAAGAAACACTTTCAAGACACCACGGGTCTCTTCGTAAATCAATCCTGAGATACGTTTCACTCCACCACGACGAGCCAAACGACGGATGGCGGGCTTGGTGATACCTTGGATGTTATCACGCAACACTTTACGATGGCGCTTTGCTCCTCCTTTTCCCAATCCCTTTCCTCCCTTTCCACGACCAGTCATTTTCACAGAGAATAAGGTTTACGTTCAAAACAGAACAGAGAACAAACTCGAAATGATGCTAAGCCGATGAAAGTACGCTGTTTTATTCCCTCTGGAATTCCACTGCTCCCCTCCACGATCTGACCGACTAATCAGGATGTCAATCCTTCTGTGCGCGACACAATTTTATACCGTTCCCCATCACAATGGGAGACGGAGAAATGACAAATCCAAGAAAGAGAAAAAGAATAAAAACTAAATCCTCGGACCCTAACAATAATGGACTTTCAAAAAGTAACAGACTCCCAGCTTCTGACGAGGAAGACATGGACAGTGACGATTCAAATTCTAAAGATGAAAAAGCTCCACCAATAATTATAAATGACTCAACAATCCAACCTACCTCAAGACTCAACATATATAATAACATCAAGAAAATTACAAAAAACATGATAATCAAAATCTCAACATATGCTATCACAATCTATCCTAAAGGAATACCTGATCATTTGGAAATCATGAACTATTTAAAAGGAGAGAATATTCCATTTCATACCTACACGGCAAGCTCTCAAAAATTAAAAAAGATGGTCATCAAGGGACTTCCAAGACTGGATACTCAAGAAATAATTTCGGATTTATCTGAAAATGGATTTAACCCAATGAGTGTTAGTGTCATGAAAGTGAGAAGTGATAGACCCCAAGAATATCCACCATACCTCGTCACATTTGATAATTCAATGCGTGGTTCCCGACTTCAATTACTAAAAAAATTAAAAGTTATTTGTTTTACAAGAATATCCTGGGAAGAATATAGAAATCCTAGTGGTGTTACTCAGTGTTATAAGTGTCAACAGTTTGGACATGGAACTAATAATTGTTTCAATTTACCAAAATGTGTCAAGTGTGGACAAGGACATCCTACAAAGGACTGTACTAAATCCAAGGACACTGAAGCAAAGTGTGCCAACTGTGGAGGTAAACACACAGCGAACTATAAAGGATGTCCGAAATACATGGAAAGGATTGAAAAAATCTTGAAACTTCGAGAAAACATTAGACCAAGTAAGAGAAGCAATCAACAACATAACATCCCTCCGAAAAATGACGTCACCAATTATCCTGCCTTGAAACCAGTCGCCAACGAGTCAGCCCAACATGCACCTATTGTGCAACAAAATGTAATGGACAAGGAACCCTCTACATCCAAAAGCAATCCCTGGACAAAGGAAAACGACACTTCACCTCAACACGTCTCGCCTCTACTTGTGGAACTTGCGGAAGTGGGTAAGCTTATTGCAAAAAAATATAATTTAAAAAATATGATAAAAATGGCCAAAGAATTGTTATTTGCGCTAGATCAAACTAATGATAAGTTAGAACATGCCATAATATTTAATGAATATATATTAAAGTTTAGTAATGGATTGTAAAAAAAATAATTTAGTAATAGCACATTGGAATGCGAATGGCATTATAAATAAACAGCGCGAGATGAGGCACTTCCTAGATAAACATGCAATAGATATACTTTTACTTAATGAAACTAAATTAAATAATAAAAAGATATATGTTACTCCTGGTTATAGAACTGTTAGAAAAGATAGAGAAAATAATGGTAGTAGGGGAGGCGGTGTCGCCATCCTAGTAAAATTAAATATAGATTTTATCCAGGTGGATTTTAAAGTTGAAAATGTAGAAGCTATTGGCATAAAATTGGAAAATAATATAATTATAGCCTCAATTTATGTTCCAAATCAAAACCTAACAACTGCTCAATTGGATAAAGTTTTTAGTAAACATAACAGAATTTTGGCAATTGGTGATTTCAATGCAAAGCATAGTCTGTGGCACTGCAGTAGAAGCAATAAAAACGGACGTACAGTTTTTAATTATGTTTCAAATAATTTGTTAGAAGTAATTCCTCCGGATAAACCAACATTGTATCCTCATGCATGCAATTCATTACCTAGTTTCATTGACATAGCAATTAATAAAAATATAAATAAAAATATTGAAGTGGAAGTTATTGATGAGTTGGATTCCGACCATCTACCAATATTATTAACAATAAATAATTCACAGATACAATGTAAACAAAAAAATTTTTTAGATTATAAAAATGCAGATTGGACTAAATTTAGAACTCACTTAAATAACAATTTAACGATTAACAATAAACTTGAAACATGTGATGAAATTGATTTTTCGGTTACTCAACTTACAGAACTAATTAACAATGCCATAGATTGTGCTGTGCCTAAGAAAGAACAGAGATATATGGCGGCTCGTCTTCCTTTATCCCAAGAAATTAAAAACTTAATAGCAGAGCGCAATAAAATCCGCAAAATATATCAGCGAACTAAATTAGATTATTTACGGAAAACTAAAAATAATTTGTCTAATCTTATTAAAACAAAAATAAAAAAATTTTATAACGATAATTGGAATAATAAATTGAAAAATCTTAATATTAAAGATAATAGTATTTGGAAAACCGCTAAAATTTTTACTAAGGTCAACCCAGGGTCAATCGTTAAATTGCATGGTCCATCGGGAATAACTTATAATAAAAAAGAAATGGCTGATGTATTGGCAGATTATTTCGAGGGAGTGCATCATCTCACTCGCGACCTTGGAGATAAAGACACAGAGAAAATTGTAAATAAAGCGTACTGTGATATACAAAAGAGCAATTTCGATCCAAAGACTATAGAATTATCTTCACCTAGTGAAATTAAAAAAATATTACAACATGTAGCGCCAAGAAAGGCCCCTGGTCCTGACGGTATACAAAACGTAGTTCTAAAAAACCTCACTAAAAAATCTGTTGTTCAAATAAATTACATTTTTAACGCTTGCTTTAAATTGTCATATTTTCCCACTGACTGGAAAAAAGCAAACATATTAGCTTTTCATAAAACTGGCAAAAATAATCTTTTTCCACAAAACTATCGTCCAATCAGTTTATTACCAACTCTTAGCAAATTGTTTGAAAAAATTATTTTAAATAGAATTAAAATTTTTGAAAGAAATAATAATAAACTTATCAACGAACAATTTGGTTTTAGAGAAAGTCATAGTACAATTCAACAATTAGCTAGAGTCACAAATGAGATAACAATAAATTTTAATCTTAACAGACACACAGCAGCAGTGTTTCTTGACATTGAGAAGGCTTTTGATACCGTCTGGCACAGGGGTCTTATTTATAAATTGTCAACACTAGGTTTGCCTTCATATATTATAAAGTTGATTGTAAGCTACTTGAAACAACGATCTTTCCGAGTTGTACTTGACAACGAAAACTCGCAATATAGAATTATTGCAGCGGGAGTGCCTCAGGGGTCTATTCTGGGCCCAGTTTTATTTATTTATTATATTAATGACATTCCTTTAGACAAGAATACGAAAATTTCAATATTCGCAGATGACACAGCTGTTTTTTCCTCTTCATGGAAAAAATATAAAGCGACAGAATACATACAAAAACACCTGAATACACTCCTGAGGTACTACCACAGATGGAAATTGAAAATTAATGCCAGTAAAACTGAGTTCATTGTATTTAGTAAAAGAAAAAAGGAAAAGAATGAAAGTGAAATTAAAATTACAATAGATGGTGTAAATATTGAAATGTGTGATAGTGTTAAGTATCTTGGCCTTACAATGGATCATAAACTAAATTATAGAACACACATCGATAATGCTTGCACTAAGGGGCAAAAGGTTACAGGACTATTAAATAGCCTATTAAATAGAAAGAGTAAGCTTAATATTAATAATAAAACACTTTTATATAAAAGCCTAGTGAGACCGGTGGCATTATATGCCATACCAGTGTGGAGCAATGCTAACATGAGTAAAATATTAAGATTTGAAAGTAAATTGCTGAGAAGATTAGTTGATGTACCTCCAAGAACATCAAATAAAAAAATCAGACAAATATTACAAATTCCACATATCAACGACACTATTTTTAATCTTACCCATAATTTTTATAATGAACAAATTTTTAAAGCTAACGCTTTAAAAAACTTTAAAATGATTACTCATGAAAATAAGCCATTTAAAATAAAACATAAACTTCCATATTCATTACTTATGTCTTAAATAACGATGCTAATTTAGTAAGCTCCAGCTTACTCACACTGCGGCTCTATTTTTGTATGCTGATTTGTAATTGTTGAGTATGTCAAATAATTTTATATTTTGTTAACTATTTTTAATTTTTTTTAATTTTTAATTTTATTTATTTATTTTCAACAATTACTGGCTTTTTTTTTTATAACGACCTTTTTACCAGTAAAAATTCAAAATTCAATGTACAAGCAAGAATGAAATCATAAATATATGACGAAATTATAATTTACAAATATTTCGATAAGTTAGATACTAAATAACAGGTGCGAAATACTATATTATGAAAATATATATGTACACTTCTTTGTATTTAATAAATTTGATAAATAAAGAGGGTTTCAAAATGAAATGAAATGCCTAAAGCATTATTTTTCAGTTGTCCCTCGAACTCTCAACTTCGAAGCAATGGCTCGTACTAAACAAACCGCGCGCAAATCCACTGGTGGTAAGGCACCAAGGAAACAACTCGCCACCAAGGCCGCTCGTAAGAGTGCGCCTGCAACCGGTGGAGTGAAGAAGCCCCATCGCTACAGGCCCGGAACCGTCGCTCTCCGTGAGATCCGTCGCTACCAGAAGAGCACCGAGCTCCTCATCCGCAAACTGCCCTTCCAACGTTTAGTCCGTGAAATCGCTCAGGACTTTAAGACCGACCTGCGCTTCCAGAGCTCCGCCGTGATGGCCCTCCAGGAGGCCAGCGAGGCCTACCTCGTCGGTCTCTTCGAAGACACCAACTTGTGCGCCATCCACGCCAAGAGAGTCACCATCATGCCAAAAGACATCCAGTTGGCCCGTCGTATCCGAGGAGAACGCGCTTAAATTTCCTTGCCACTCTCAAAACACAATCGGCCCTTTTCAGGGCCAACAAATTTTCTTACGTTGAAATATTTTTAATTCTTATATACAAACATATATTTTACTACTATTTTATAAACGCTTTTTTGTATCAATTAAAAACCTGTTTTTAATCAAAATTTTGTAGAAGTAAATCATACTGCATAATTATGGTAAATTTTCAATAATACATTCAATGCAATATATCAAATATAACAGAGAAAACCTAGGAGTCAATAATTATTCGTCATTTGTTTTTTTATAAATATTACTATTTAAATCACTGGCTCTTCACTATTTCGAAAATTTTGCTAATACAATCCTTCCTCTATGAGGAAGCAATAACAGGACAAAATAAATATTTAATTGAATTATCGAATTACACTGCAAAAAGAAGTATCTTTCATTTCTAAGATGTTTTGGTAGATACATTTTAGTTACTTGAAACATCTTAATTTAAGATGTTAAAAACATCTTCGTACACATTTTCTATGTTATTTTTGGGGCAAAAAGTTTTGAGGTTAACTATCGGCTCTTATGGAAAACACTATATCTATCTTAGTTTTTAGTAACTTACACTTATGACGCATCTTACGATTCTCCAGTAACTTATCGCTAAACATCTTATTGCAACAGAAACATCTTAATTTTAGATGCTTTAAAGAACTTACAAAAGTATCTTACTTTTCTAAGATGGAAGAAATATCTTCATCAGATACCATTTTTCCATCATACATCTTATTTTAAGATATCGAAAAAGACACCTATTTTTGCAGTGTAGAAAAGGAAAAATAAACCCTTTTGAATAATGGCACAAATTAATACATTTAAGATAATAATTTACATTCTACAACTCACTATAAATCATGACGTCATGATTGATATAAATTTACATTCCCACTAACACACAACACACGAAATCATACAATTACATACAATCATAAAATAATGACATTATAAAATATAAAAATAATTTGATAAAAGTTTAGTTATCATTCATTTCCTTATAATATTTAATCGAGAATATCTTACGTATTAATTTGTCTGTTTGTCGCTTATTCCTCTATTGCATTTTTCATCAATAAAGGCTCAGTGACGGGAACATTGCTTCGACATCGTCATAAGGTTCAAATATATGCGTGATAATTGAAGGATTTGTTAATTAAAATACATCTTATTCATCCTTATATACTGAATTGATGTTTTGATGAATTTCCTTATGAGAAATATCCTTCCCTTTAGACGCAATTGTTCAATGAAATGTGACCCAAATTACATCAAGGCCAATAGGCGGATATTGTTTCTCCATATATAAATTCGCACACAAGTTATATGTCGAAAAAAAAAATGCTTTTTCTTACAGAAAACGACGAAACATTGACTCGCAGATAGCAGTTCTATCTACTTCTCCCTACTCATTCTCATTTAGGAAACCGCATAAGAATTCGTCAAAGTACGACAAAATTCGTAGCATCTTCTTGTATTACACACATGTAAATATAAACTTTGCTCATACACCAAAACCAATATTTGCGATATTTTTATCGCTACAATTTTAAGTTTGCAATTTAAACAAATTTGTTTACAAAAAGTTTTTATTTCTATTCCTTAGTATAATTTTATTCTTTTAAAAAGCTAAAAATGATTGAAATCCATAAGATTGATTGTTCGAAACAATGAAATAAAAGATAAAAAATTTCACAATATAAAACAATGATAAAAATTGAATTCACTCTACAATTTAGGATTCTAATATCAAATTTATTAAGTAATTATTTACTTTCTAAATTTGCGTAACGTAACGTAATTTTACATTGTAAATAACGTTCGAAAATATATTACCAATCCTAAACGTAAATTCATACGGGCAATAATTATTTTAAACATAAATTTAATTCTTTTACAATTTCATAGTAATTATTATTATTATTATTATTATTATTAAAACATTCAATTAATAAATGTAAGGTTTTTATTTGTTTTTAATTGCACACAGTATAAAAACTAAAAAAAAAAAACTTTCAACTTTTTTCAAGCATAATACAGGTATACAAGAAAGTAAAAAAATGATAATACTGCGTTAAACGGCAATCAAATATATATTTGACTGTTTTCAAGTCCATCATTCAAAGTAAATTTCTATGACACAATAAAATATTCAAATAATTTATTAAATTAGATATAAATAATGTTGAAAAAATTGTTAAAAACTTTTTATTATTGATCTAGACAATGTACACTGTGTGTCTGCATTTTGTGCCGAAAGTAAGAACTCATACACAAACTGCAGGAACCGTACCTCCTTTAATTTATAATTCAAAGTAAAATAACTTTTCTATCCAGAAAGGGAGATAAATAGAGCATTAAATTTCAAGGCCAATTTTTAAACAAATCAATTTGTTCACTTGTTTTTTATAATTTTCTGAACTTGTTAAGAATGATCACTAAAAGCAGAGTCTTGAAAATTGCTCATTTTTAACGAAAAACCCAATGACAGTGTAATGCTTTTCCTAATATTAGAAAACTAGAATAATCGCATAATTGAAATTCAATCTATTTGCAAGTGGAGAAGAATAATTAAAGATCAAAAAGGTGAATAAAATTTTGTATGGTGTACCCAAGTTACCAAGAATTAAAACGGTAGAAAGCCAACGAGCGCTGGGGCCTTTCTTCACCGTCCGTGCGTTTTACTATGTCGATGAGCGCAGGAAAATGTGTTTATTACTGTTTGAACGCTTGAGTTGAAAGCATCTCCAAGTTATTGAACATTTTTTGTAGTTTTTCGAAAACCACTTTAGTAAAATGGCAGACAAGGTAGAATCCCCAGCTGTACCTGCAGTGGCAACTCCGAAGAAAGCAGCCAAGGCGCAGAAGCCCCGCGCCAAGGCCAGTCACCCGCCAGCGTCGGAGATGGTGAACGCGGCCATCGCCACTTTGAAGGAGAGAGGCGGCTCTTCGCTCCAAGCCATCAAGAAGTACATCGCTGCCACCTACAAAGTCGATGTCGAGAAGCAGGCTCCCTTCATCAGAAAGTACCTGAAGGCTGCAGTCGCCAGCAAGGCTCTGATCCAGACCAAGGGCAAGGGCGCTGCAGGGTCCTTCAAGTTGAACGTCGCCAAGGCCGAGGGCAAGGCCAAAGCCAAGCCCAAGACCAAGACTGCCGCCAAACCCAAAGCTGCTGCAGCACCAAAGGCCAAGAAAGCAGCTTCTCCAAAGAAGGCCGTGGCAGCCAAGACCAAGAAAGCCGTCGCCGAGAAGAAGAAGACCCCGAAGGTTGCGGCCAAGCCACCGAAGGCCAAGTCCACCACCGCCAAACCCAAGGTGACCAAGGCTGCTCCCAAGAAGGCGGCCAAAGCTTCGCCCAAGAAAGCTGCGGCACCCAAAGCGAAGAAGCCCGCGGCAAAGAGGGTTGCCAAGAAGTAAAGTGAAAAGAAATTGATAGTGGATGATTGAAAACAAACGGCCCTTTTCAGGGCCACCAATTACTTTTTACGAAAGAATTTTCTTTGTCTCAAACATAAGTATTTAGAATAGTAGTCAAGTCGAAAATAATTCATAGCTCTTGCGAATAGGCTTATTTTTACAAAAGCTTAAAATTAAAATCTATATAACAAATTTCAATTTACTTCTTATATTTATCAAAATTTTAAAAAAGTACTGCAATGGTCAATTCCACCTTACCTTTCAGTATACATTTTAAATTAGGATGGAAATATTTTTACTGACATTAAAATATGTTAATATCATTTTTTCAGAAAATATCCATGAATTTTTGCTAATTCGTTAAAATCTGTAAAAAATAATTTTAAAAAGTAGGTACTACAGAAATTCCGAAAATAACTATTTTTAACACATACGTTATTTATGGTATTTTCGACGCTGAATCCAAATTTTAAAAATTCAGAAACCAAAATCCAATATGGCTGCTCAAAACTAGACTTTTTTGAAGGATACTTTTATTACATTAAATCTCAGGCACTATACATTATCTTATCAAAAAAATGTCTCACACAATTATATTAAACTGTTTTCGAGGTCGCTGATTACGAATAAGGTAAATAAATGTACACAATTACGGCCTAGTACGTTATTACGTGCTATTTCCACCATTTTTTATATCGAAAAATAAAATAATTGAAATTTTGTAAAATTTAATTAAAAACAATTATTTTTTTCAAGTATTTTGTTACAATTTTTGATGTATTTTCCAAATAATTAAATTATTATTAATATTAGTTGTCCTTTAAATATTAATGTAAAGAACATAGAATTCAAACGTAAAAATATTTGGTGGCCCTGAAAAGGGCCGATTGTTTGAAAGGTGGGTAGAAAATTTAAGCTTTCTTTTCGGTTTTCTTGGGCAAAAGAACAGCTTGGATGTTGGGGAGAACACCACCCTGGGCGATGGTGACTCCAGAGAGAAGCTTGTTCAATTCCTCGTCGTTCCTGATGGCGAGTTGGAGATGACGGGGGATGATTCTCGACTTCTTGTTGTCACGAGCTGCGTTTCCGGCCAACTCCAAGACTTCGGCAGCCAAGTATTCCATAACTGCGGCTAGGTAAACTGGAGCACCTGCACCCACACGCTCGGCGTAGTTTCCTTTGCGCAAAAGCCGATGGATACGACCGACTGGGAACTGGAGTCCAGCCCGGTTGGAGCGGGTCTTTGACTTTCCCTTGGTTTTGCCACCTTTGCCACGTCCTGACATTTTTGATTTAGTTTTGAATTAACGAAGTAAACACAACGAAGAATACAAAGCGAATGATGTTCTGCGCCTGAAATCCGCCTATTTACGCTCTCTCCACAGGTCACGCCCACAACTTGCGCTCCCCTCTCTTTGTCGTGAGTGGCAGATGGTTGCAGTGAGTCCCCGCACCAATCAAAATGTAGGAGCACAACTGTAAGAGAACGTAAATA